AGTGTATTCATTAGATATTATGGACGAATATATTAAATCCTACTTTCAAATCCGATTAAGGCATAAAGCAACTCTCCTGCGATTTTTGTTTAATCTTTATAGATACAACTCAAATTGAGATGTATAATAAGTTTGGACATAATGTTTTATGTGTCGATGGAACGCATGGAATGAACGCATATGACTTTGAATTAACAACTGCTCTAGTTTTGGATGAATTTGGGGAAGGATTTCCAGTTGGGTTCCTTTTTTCTAATAGAAAGGACACATACATTTATCAATTATTTTTTTCATGTCTTAAAAAAGTAACTGATAACGCACGCACAACTGAAGTGTTTATGTCTGACGTGACAAATGTTTATTATAATGCCTGGAAGTCTGTTATGGGGGTCCCTAAAAAACATTTATATTGCTCTTGGCACATTAATAGAGCGTGGCAACAAAATTTGTCAAAGGTATGTGATCCTGAAAAAAGAAAATGGGTTTATAAAACTTTAAAATATCTTCAGACTAGTCTGGACGAAGAGGTAGGTATTTCAAAAAGAATATGAATTGTTTCTCTCTAGCTTAGACAATGACGAGGATACCAAAAGCATGCTTACGTATCTATTAACTTACTACACATCAAATACATTCAAATGGGCATACTGCCACCGAAAAGGTTGTGGTATTAACACAAATATGCACCTGGAGAGTATGCACAAGGTATTAAAATATACATACCTTGAGGGTAAAAGAGTAAAGAGGCTGGATAAGGCAATGCATGCTTTGCAAAAGTATCTTCGTGACAAAACTCTTGACAGAATAATAAAAAAATTAAAAGGGAAAAATAATAAACACTTAAATCTAATTTCAAACAGACATAGAGATGCAACTGGAAACCCCGTGAATATAAATATGCTGTCAGAAAATATATTTGAGATTTCTGCAAATGATTGCAAATATTTAATACGCAAAATAAAACCAAATGTTTGTTGTGCATTAACTTGCAATATTTGCAATATATGTGTACACATGTTCGATTGCACGTGCCTGGACTATGCTATTAAAAGTACAATTTGTAAACATATACATCAGGTAAATTTATATTTGGAGACAAATCATACAAGCTTGCAACATGAAGTAAATACTGAAGAAGTTGCAAGTTTAGTTTCCAATATTGCTTCAAAAATTCCTGAAAAATCCCCACAAAAAATGTTGGATAAAATGAAGGTAGAGCTATTAAAATTTAGCAATAACCTAAATTCGCTGAATTATTCAAATGATGAAATATCCCACATGTTCAATATAATTTATAATAACCTAAAAACCTGCAACAACTTGGGCACTCATTCATCAATAAATAATTTTATACAAATAAATAAATCTCACCCACCAAACAAAAAGATTGAAAAACAAGTTTATTTTTCAACAAAACAAAAGAGTCGACCAAAAAATTATATTTCCAAACCTAATTCAAATGAGACCCAAGTGATTAAAGCTACTATAAACAAATCTCTTTTTATTTCTAAAACATCAAAAAATGACCACTTATATGATTAGATATTTTTTTTATAAGGGACTTTTGTATTTTTGGTTCGTATGTTATAATTTCTGCATCAATAAAATGTGTTTAAGATTATTATAGTTCTTTATTTCATTATACTAACAAAATTTCATTCTATCAACAAAATTTAAATATCCCGCCATTAGCGGCCGTCAAATAAGTTGTACATTTGGCAACATGGTATTGTCCGGGTGCTACAATTAATCGTTCCTTTATTTTCGGAAGATATAATACATGTATTTTTCTGTGTCTAAAGGTCTTAATTGGTATAGTAAATTATTTTTTCATGGTATAATACATTCAAGGTTGCTATGATTTGTCCATATTTGTTTAAACAATAATATTCTATCAACGACAACTGCCATTATATTAAAATTTTCGCGTATTCCTGTGTAAACCTGTCTCGTTTTGCAGCGACATCTACTTTATTCTTAAATGGAATGGACTATAGGTGGACAATTTTACACTATATCAACAGCTGATCAGCTAATTTTTGTATCAAGTTTTTATCCGAAATACATTTTTTTATTTGAAATTACAGAATCTATCTATAAAAGAAAAAACTTTGTTTTACAAAATGTTTAGGGGGTTTTGACATCACTCTTAAGCCTGAATTATAGATTCCTTCCTCCCGTAGTCGTGCCCGTACGATTTGTGCGTGTAAAAAGCAGTGATGTAATGTATCGAGATACATGTATCTAGATACTGGATCTAGATACATTTTATGTACCTAGATACGTATTGAGATACTTAAAAAAATCAGGATCTACTTTAGTATCTAGATCCTTTTGAAAGTATCTAGATCCTTAGATACAAGATACATTTTATTTTACCCAACCTGATTGCAACTCCACACCGTGTGGGCCACAAATAATAAAAAGATATTTTATTTCTTTTTTCCTTCAACCCACTTTGGAGTGCGAAGTGCATAAAGTAACTCTTAGGCACTAGTGAGTAAAGTTAAACAAAAGCGCTGTAGGTTACCTATAGTTGGCTTTTCTTCGTTCTGATAATTTTGAATTTGTACTACAAATTTTGTAGTAAGCTTTAATATGGCGAATAAATATAAAATTTATTTCCGTTTTTCATGGATATTTCGTCAATTTTATCAAAACAGTTTTATTTTATAGTTAACACGCTTGTTTATAAGGTCCAAAAAAAATTTTTTTTTCATTTAATTTTTAAGTTTTTTTAACATAGTATCTGGAAGTAACTTAGATACTTTTTGAATGTATCTGTATCTGTACCCAGATACTTTTGGGAAAATGTATCGGTATCTGTACCCAGATACATCTACCAGAGAGTATCTGTATCGGTACCTAGATACTGAAAAAAATGTATCGGTTACATCACTGGTAAAAAGTCAATTTATAGATTTCCGTGTAAAATTCCGTAACCATGTGCGATGATACCTAAAATGCTTGACATTTGTTTTTGTTTATATTCTGCGTTTTACCCATTGTGTGTAAATATTAAAGATAAACATTTATATATAAGAGCAGTGATCACAATCACAAGGCAGCTTGTTGTATACTGCCCAACTATGGAGAAAGTAACCAAAGATAATTATCTTATTATCTTTGGCAGTAACTGCTAAACAAGAAATTTGTGGGAAATTAGCATTAACTACATTTTTATAAAAAGCAATATCTAAATATCTTATTTTAGAGACACAAATTATTTAATAAACTGAACACTTCTTAAATAATAGGTACTAAACAATCATGTATTTTAAATATTTTGTGCCTAGGCGCTGTCACCCTACAGCGCATGTCCATAACAAGCACTGTGATTGGTCATGTCAAAGACCTTTACGGTGAAAGATAAAACTTCTACCGGAGGAAGGAATGCCGTCCTTTCGGTACGGAAATCTATAAATGGCTCTACGATTTAAATAAACATTTTTGACGAGACGCTAAATGCCACTGGCGGCTCCTCTTACTGCGCATGATCGCTTAATTGACAAATGTGCCTCGATTCGAAATATTAAAGGCACGTTAGTTACGTCATAAAACCAAACCAACCCAAACGACCCCGCCCCATTGGCCCCCCCGCCCCATTGAGCAAAAAACCCAACTAAAATGGGCAAATTTATGTTACGATAAAAATAAAACACTTTTTAACAAAGGAACAACAAATTTATGAAATAAAAAAAGTTCGACAACTTCTAGTAGATTTTATGTTACGATAAAACTAAAACAAACCAACCAACCCAACCGAACACTGTTTAACAAAGAAACAACAAATTTATGAATTAAAAAAATAAAAAAAGTTCGACAGCTTTTTAGTATCGAACCCGGGACCTCTCGCATGCCAAGCGACCGCCCTACCATCTGAGCTATCTACGAATTATAATTATAACGTAACTAACGTGCCTTTAACATTTTCAATCGCGGCACATATGTCAATTAAGCGATCATCCGCAGTAAGAGGAGCCGCCAGTGGCATTTAGCGTCTGGTCATTTTTGACGTAATTGTCACCATTAACATTGCCCGTTATTAATTTTAATTAAACTTAACAATTATTGATACTTTAAAATATTAAAATAACTTCAAAATATGATTTTGTTAAGAAAATATTTTCTACTCCTATTACGGAATTTGACCGTTCTAATATCACTTTTATCTATGGAATGACATATATTCCGTGAAGTGTTACAGAATGAAATATTCTATCATCGGATGACAGAATGAACACTCGTGGCGACATCTCTGTTTTTAATATCTAACAAATTTTAGACCGATCCAACCTCACTTTCTTCCAATTAAATGATTTTTCTATGGTATTTTTTGTAAACGTAGAAAAAGTATAGTCTGAAACACTTTTGGAATTGCATATTCCGCTCTCGTGAAACCGTCAAACTCGCCTTCAGCTCGTGTGACAAACTCTTCACTCGAGCGGAATATGCTGTATTCCCAACTTGTTACAGAATATACTATTATCCTTTGATTTTTTTTATTAAAATATTAAAAATTCTTGGTGCTCATTCATAATGGACGTAACCATAAGATGCCCGTAAGAAATACGTAAAACGTAAAGTTGAATATTAACAAAACCAGAGTGCCGCAATTTTTACGTTTTACGTTCGAACATAAGATCTTATGGGTGACCGTAAAAAATACGTAAAGTTTAAACTTTACGGGTTTCTTATGTGTGAATTTTAGTAACTTTGTTGATAGCAATCAGGGTAGTAGCCATGCAAACAGATGACAGATCTTTTTCAAGTGTATTCTGGTGTATCCACAGAACAAACAATCTAAAGAACCATTCCTAATCCTAAAGTTTTAGTTCGAGTATTAATGGTGACATTTACGTCAAAAAATTTTATTGGGTTTCGTATTGTTCATTTTCTACGGGAGGAAGGAAGGAAGACAATCTATAACTCAGGCTTTAGGGGGGGCAACACTGGGATATTTGTTTATTAAGATGGCAACACTGTAAGGAATAGGATGGCAACACTGTAAGGAATATCAATACAATTTAAGGTTATCTAGTAAATAATATTTACAATGGATTTTAAAATTGAGGATTTAGATCTTTATGAACTTTTAGAAATTAATATAAGTAGTTCTGAAAATGATGTAAGTAATAAACAGTACAAAAAAACTTGTATGTTATAAAAATTTGTAGATCAAAAAAGCATATAGAAAAAAAGCGCTACAATGCCACCCTGATAAAAATCCACATGATTTGGAGGCCCCAAAAAAGTTTCATCAGCTAACAAAAATATTGGAAATTTTAACAGATAAAATTGCCAAAGCTGCTTATGATAAAGTATTATTAGGTAAAAAAGAATCGGCTATTAGGCACAAAGAATTGGACAGCAAAAGACGTAAACTTAAAGAAGATCTTGAATCAAGAGAACAAAATGCTAGTAGTTCAAATAAAAAAAAAAGTGCAAATGAAAAGTTAAGGGAACAAATTGAGAGATTACGTAAGGAGGGATCAAAGCTTGTTGAAGAAGAAATCAATTTTGTAAATAAATGTGCCAAAGAAAATTTAAAAGATTTACAAGATGTAAATGATCATAAAATTAAAATTAAATGGCAAGCCTCCAAAAATGATCCCAAGAATGGAGGATACACAAAAGAGATACTGGAAAAATGTATGTTGAAATATGGAGACATTAATATTCTCATCCTTTCATCAAAGAAAAAAGGAAGTGCAATTATTGAATTTAAAGATAGACATGCTGCAGTAAGTTTTTTAAATTGTTTGCCAAATTGAATGTTCGGAATATTTTTTAGGAGACAGCAGTAAATTATGAAATCGGATTAACATCAAATCCTTTAAAACTAGAATGGATTTATGGATCACCTAAATCTGCCCAAGCTACAAGCTCATTAATAAAAGAATCTGATTTTGAAAGTATAACTTTAACAAGGTTAAGACAAGCTGAGGAAAGAAAACGTTTAATAGAAGAAATTATAAAAGATGACCAATAAACAATAATAATGGTATTATACATTGTGTTTTAAAAAATATAAAAATTAAACTGTTAGTATTAATAAATTTTGTGATAAACGTTCTTACCTTATTTTTTATAAATATATTAAGCACAATACTATCTTGGAAATATGTATTTAATCAAAATAATTTGTAGGTATACCTACACACTATAATGTGATAAAAATTTAAAAAGTTTAATTAATGAGCAGAAAATTTATTCAAATTGTGGTTATGTATATTTTCACGTTGACAATCGCACAGTGTGCGACTCACACAGTGTTGCCAGGCTGGTTTTATTGAAGGTAATAACTTTGTCTTTAAAAAGGTAAAGCCTGATTTATAAATGGCACTACGATTTTCGTATTGTTCATCTTTTACGGGAGGTTGGAAGGAAGGCAATCTATAAATCAGACTTAACAGATTTAGAAAAAAGGTAACTTTTTTTTACTGTTAGCGCCATCTATTTTCAGTAAGTTGTATTAACATTTTGGGTCATTGAATAAAAATACACTTTTTATGTTTTGGATAGGTCATTTAAAGCTAAAACTTTTAAGCCTGATTTATAGATTGCCTTCCTTCCTTCCTCCCGTAAGACGAACAATACGGTTAACGATTAATCTATACGTCATAGACGTATTGACATTTTAACTAATGCCCATGGGCAGTTGATTCGTTAAAATAGTACATTGTGTATCAAGGGCGGAAAGAAAGCGATTTTGACAAGTGTGAAGTTTGCCGCACGAGCATAAAATGCGAGTGCGGCAATCACACGATCAAAATCACGTTTCCGCCCGTGGTACACATACTATTTTGTGTCAAATCTGCTCTGAAATTTTCAAGTTGAAAAGGCTTTTACAAAATAAAAAAAATCATTTAAAAAATAAAAATTCAATAGGCAGCTAATTTTACTACGGTGAGCAGTGTTGCCAGAAATGCAGAATTTTCTTCAATATGCAGAATTTTAGCCTACATCGGGAGCTAATGAAGAAAAGAAGAATATTTAACAAAAACCACTAAAATATGAAGAATTTTTTAAATTCACATATTTTCTTTCATAAAATTTTCTAGATTATTTAATTCTTTAACTCGATTTGAACACTGTAATATGATATAAATGTAGTTATTTTATTCATTTCGTATGCATTCTGACATCTCTCGGTAAAATGTTATAACTACTCTACGACTTGAATTACATCACTGGTGCAACAATACACACAACAAGGTCTGTTCTATCTTGTTTCGCAAATACTAAAAATCACGAAATTAGGCAACCCACTGCACATACTCTAACGGCGGCCATTTTTATGTTGTTTACAATTCTTGTGATTCGGGTTTGTGCTGTATATACAAATTGTTTTAAACGTAAGCCTGAAAGTGCTAAGGACAACCATTTTACTCCTCTTTTGTAAAGAATAAACCTTATACTTTCAGGGCTGATATTAAACTATCAAAATGTAAATTTTAAGGTTAATTTGTGGGTTATGGTAAATTAACCTACGTACCTTATAAGGTTCTTATCTATTTACTTCAGAACTTAGGTTTTTTTGTTAACTAATTAATAACAAAATGACGTTTTACATCTCTGCAGAAATTTGAAGAATTTTTAAGGTTAAATTGAAGAAAATTAGTATAAAGCATTTGGCAACACTGACGGTGAGTTTGACAGTTGTTCAATTGACCATATGCAAGGAATGCGGTCGATGTTGCAAATGGTAAAAAATTATGATATATCTTGTACGCCCCCGAAATTAAGAGAACTAGCGAAAGGTGTACATGATTCGAATCAGTAATTACTGATTAACTTTTGAAAATGCAATTTGAGTTAGCTTCACATCACTTCCTCCAAGAGCGTACGTTCTTCCAGTTGGTGTAACAGGATTCACTCGTGCTAGAATGTCCACAACTGAAAGCCATAGGACATCTGCATGTCTAGGGCAAGAGAATGATGATGCTGGCCCACAAGGATGAAGAAAAGTTATTTTCACTTCATCATGTTCTTCATCTTTTTCTAAAACATAGCCAAGCCACCAGTTTTTGTCATATACAGTGGTGACATAGCCTGAAACGTCTTCTAACTTCAGTGTGTCCACTGGTTTAGCCACATTCCCAACCCTGCATTTCATCTGAAAAGTGTTTCACTAGTATACTATAGTTCTGATTTAGTGTTGGGAATAAATGCATGGAACTGTTGTGTTCCTTTAATGGTTAGTGCTTGTTTAAAATGGCTTTCCAGAAACATTTCTGAAACAGCATAATCCTCTTGAGTGGAAAAGGCAAAATCTACCTTTGGTATGTTTTCTACTGCCCACTCAAAGAGATCTTGTGGGGTTTGGATTTGGTTGTCATATGGCCTTTGCAAACTAGCGCGAGCTGCCAGCCTTTTAACAGAACCGCCTACTCCATCGCATGGCCCTTTCCTATGTGCTGTTGCTGAAAAGTACCACTCAGCTTTTATGTTAAAATCTTCCTCATGAAGGCAAAGGTTTAGGAAGTTTTTCTTATTTTTATACTGAGCGGCCGAACCGTCAGAAAAATAAGATATCTTTCTTGGAAGCTTTTGAAATTTGTTTGTTAAATAACAAATGAGCTTCTTTTGAAATGTATAAACAGCTACTGTGTTGTGCTGTAAGCATTCTGAAATAATAACAAAGCTCAAATGTTCAATGTTGTCTTCTTGTTTGTAATATATAACAAAAGGATGAATCGTAATCTGTTGGCTTGTTCAGTGATATATCACTATATATATATATATCAGTTATAACTCTGTGCTTCATCCTGAAGAACTATACTATAATTTTCGGAAAAATCACAACGACAAATTCTGAATCATGAAGATTTTCTTTCGTGTTCTAAGGAATGCACCTTGTTGCTTGGCGATAAAGTCATGCATGACTTTAGCATATGCTTAACCAAAGCGGACATCTTACTACAAAATAAATCGATAAACTCTTCGGAAGTTTTTTTCAAGGTCTCCAGATTACAGCGGTCAACCGATACCCACTTTTTCAATAAAATTTTCATCGAAAGAGTCTTGTAACATTTTATGGATTTCAGTTACTCCAGGGCAATATTCGCAATTTCCCACGTTGCAAGCTATTGATGATGGGTTACAAAGCATTTTTGCAATGCATTGCTTGTAATTTTTTAGGTTTCCATTTGTTAAAATATTTTGCATTTTATATCATCAACTTAATGTTTTGATGAGTTGTGCACACACAAACAGAGTGTGTGCCACTTTGCCCAGCTAAAATGCACTGTTTGGGTCTCAGCTCAGCAAACTTAGAGAAACCTATTTTAATGTCAGGAAACATGTCTTTGAAATGTTTATAAGCTTCTTTAAGATTGCACAAAATAAGTTTTTTTAGAAATTTTAGTCTTACTTCCATCTGGTTTAGTAACTGTTACACAATCCTTCATACCCGGCATTGCCCGGCTTACTTCATCACTATCAAAACGAATGAACATTTTCTACTGTTTCTAATGGTAAATATTTGCCTGGTTTGGGGTTTGGACCTTCCATAAACCCCTTTTCTCTCAAAATTTGTTTTGATCGCCGAACCATTTAATTTGGAGCATTAAACTCTCTCATTATCTTCCTGACACTCCACTTTTCCGGCAAACTTGTAAGTATCATTATTTTTTTTGCATTGCCCGGCTTACTTCATCACTATCATAAAACGAATGAACATTTTCTACTGTTTCTAATGGTAAATATTTGCCTGGTTTGGGGTTTGGACCTTCCATAAACCCCTTTTCTCTCAAAATTTGTTTTGATCGCCGAACCATGTAATTTGGAGCATTAAACTCTCTCATTATCTTCCTGACACTCCACTTTTCCGGCAAACTTGTAAGTATCATTATTTTTTTTGTCCTATCTGTAGAACATAAAAAGTTAGTTTTTAGATTTTGGAGAACCGATTCATCAATATCATCTTCATTATCCGATGAAGAAGTTTCAGCAGCAACAAAAAGGTTACGTTTCACTGTTGAAGAGATTTTTTTCAATTTCTTTGTCGCATAGTGCTTAGATGTGGGACTCACCTAGCTCTTGAAGTGATATGTTAAGTAACTCAACAGCCGTTGAAGTTGAAGTGAAGGCAGGGTCATTGCCATGGATGAGTTCCTCCGATCCAGAAGAATCCTCAGCTTCAGCATTTTTAGCACTAGTACTTGGCTCATTATTTTTAAGTTTCGTTACATCTTTCCTGCAGGTATGACAAATCATGGAGCTAATAGGCATTAGTGGAAATAATCCAGTCATCCATGCTCGGACTTTTCTCAGTTTTTTTCTGTCTCTAATAAAATGATTTGTTTTTTTCATTGGATTATTATAATAACACTGCACTCTTACAATAGTAGGCTCCATGTTGACACCAAAATCACTTTAAACACACCTCATTTATAGTTTTATTTTTAAATAAACTACGAATATATACAGCTGTATATATTCGTAGTTTATTTAAAAATAACCCTAGGGTCCGATAAAAGTTCCCATGTCATTTGAAAGAGCATTTAAAATGCTGCAAAATGACACCTCTCCCAGCTTTCTAACCATAGAAAAAGTATATTATATAGTTTCTAACTGTGATAAACTTAAGAACACAGAACATCTTAAGAAACACAAACGTCATAAACGCCTGCCAATAGAGTAATTGCATCAAAAATGAAAATCCCTAAAAACCTTTTTATTGTAATCTAGAGGTAAAAACACATTGCGAAAATATTTTTTTATATTCCAAAAGTTCAACCCGGGCCCAAAATATCAAATTGAAAAAAAGGTACTTTTCAAACGTTCCGAACTCCCGCCAAATTGCATGACGTCATAAGCTCCAACTGTCAGAAATCAAGATGTCAACAAATAATAAACACCGATAAAGTTTAACATGGAAAACGCGAAACCAAAAATTGGTTGTAAATATTGTTTTGTGCCTTGTACAAATACAACCTGGAAAACTCCTGGGAAAAGGTTTATCACCGTGCCAAAAGGGAAAATAAGGATAAAGTGGATTAAAATAGCTCGGCGCGATATCAAAACATCGTCACCGCAGTCAACATTTTATTGATCATTTTAAGGATCATTTTAATGTAAGTAAAATAAAATGTCGTTTACTAGGTATTTGGTTTGAATAGGTATGTTAAATATTAATAAACCCAAGAAAATACGGCTGAGCCGTAACTACTCTCAGTGTAGGGTCATAAACTTTGCTTTTGATAATTGAAGGGACAACTTTCCCAGGAGTTTTCCAGGTTGTATTTGTACAACAAGGCACAAAAC